ATATTCGTCACCAGCACCATAATTCAAATGCATTGATTCTTCTGTGGTCTTTCTTATTCAATGTACAACTTTCACATGAATATGAGGTGATTGAAAATAGTATGGTTTGGGTCAGGTGCTTCTTAATCCTCAAAGTAACATCTTTGCATTTCAACACTTTAAAGAGGTCTTGTGCAGCAGATTTACCCAGTGCAATACACCATTTGATCTCTTGATTGCTGCATCTATGAGCATTGATTGTGGACCCAAGCTAGATGAAATCCTTGACAACTTCTGTCATTTCTCTGTTTGTCCTGATAAATGTAACTCTTAACAGGGATAGAAGTCCTCACCTTTCCCCCAAAGAGAGCCTGGTGGTTTTGAATTGTTGATCTTGTGGTTAGCAGCCCAATGCGTACCCACCCACCAAAGCGCCTCTCAGATTTCTAGAATAACTAAAAGGACAAGAATTCTTACCTAGTAAACGCATGCTAAGAACTTTTTCTTATACACTAGGACTTTATTTAAATTATATTATAAAATATTATAGATTGCATTTATTTTATTTATTAGGAATGTATCCTAGTGTAATCTACCCTTCCAATACAAGCCTACTGGGGTGTATTTTCACTCAATATGTCTTCGTATAATAGTTCACATTATTCCCATAAAGACAAAAAAGTGCTATGCCCGCAATTACGGAATGATAGTGACAAGCTCTCAACTTGTTGCCTTGGGAAATCCTAGATGGATAAAGACCCGCACCTCCAACAACCCGCAACACATAGACCACGAGGTCCAGGCATTCAGTGGAGGCACAGAAAGACACTTCTTCCTTTTCATACCCAGCAGGTCCCTGGAAGCAGAGACCCTGGAAGCCCGGTCCAGGATAAGTACACCTGGGCCATTACACTGATTCTTACCAGAGCCTCTCATGGTCAGACTTTGAGCGAGGTAGCACAACACGGAGGGTCCCTCCACTAATATTTAAGAGGTTGCCAAACAAAACAGACCCAAAAAAATCAATTTGGCATTACTTATTTATATACTGCTGATTTTTACTTATTTTGTATGACCGTGTATCCTTAAATTGTTAAACAGGATAGGTTGCGTGAGCTTAATTTAAAATTATTGCTATCAAATCATAGAGAGCTTTATTTTTAATATAAAAAGTGAAGCCCTTGTTTCTTGACGTATCCTACCGTGCACTTGTAAAGGCAGGGTTTCCATCCCTCTAACCCTTCCCTCAAGAATCCTGTACTTTCATATTTACACCATGCTAAATGGCAGTTTGGGGCATCTTTGAGGCCTCAAATTATCTTGCTTTTCTATGTTCTTTGAGTTTAGGGAATGAAAAGCTGTCTGAGGGCACGAGACCAGGGCTGTAGGGTGGATGGGATAAAGTTTTCTAACAGAATGTTTGCAGGACAGCCCTGTTGCCCGCCATGAATGAATGATCCGTCATTGTAATGGGGAAATAGCTCCTTGGCACAACTTTTCGGACCGTTTCATCACCAAAGTAGTTTTCAGTTTTCTTAAATCTGCCTTATAGGAAGCTCCCGTCATTCCCAGCATCCTTTGAGAAAATCTATCCAGAGTATTCCTTTGGGATCCCAGAACAGTCACTATAACATTCCATCTAACCTCCGTCCCTTAAAATTAACGGGCCCAGCCACTGCTTTTATTTGGCTTTGATTTAAGTCATCCTAACAAGACTCAGGAAAGACAAGTGTGTTATTGAGACAACTTGCCGGCAGTCAGCCACTGAGCCCAGAGACATGCTTAAACATCTTTTATTAAAATAAACCCATGCACGTATGAACTAGAACCCTAATGGCAATATTTTTTTAACTTACCCTCATACATTCTGATGGAATTAGGTTAACAAAATAATGACCATAATAGTAACTTGAGTCGTTGAGACTCAAATATCTAGACTGAGAATGATACAGGAGGCTCCCTTCGGGAGTTGAGAAATGGAAAATCAGACCCCCCCACTGACGGATCCTTTCCACTCACTGCTTTGTTCAGGTATAATGCTTGCATTCATCAGTGCTTCGAACGGAGGACAAAAGGTGCCGGCAACATGGTCAACGGGTTAGCCAACAATGCTGAAATTGATGACAGCAGCAATTGTGACGCGACGGTAGTGCTACTAAAAAAAGGTAACCAAGGAGACACCTGGGTCCAAGAAGGAAATGCTAGAACGTGAGCTCATCTGCTCACTTTCACAGTCACATGCAGGGCATGGCAGCTGAGCTGAGAGGATGCTGCTTGCCTGAGAGAAGGGATGAGGAGAGGAAAGGTTCCATTCCTCCAAGCTCTGTTTGGCTATAGCATGAGACAGTCTCACCCCTGGGAAGGAGCTGCTTCAGAAAGCCCAGGGAAGTTCTTGAGCAACACATTTGCTAAGGATGCTACAGAGACATGAGGAGAGGAGGGGAAACCATGGGCTGTGAGGTACTGGCTCTGCCACATTTCTGTTGTGTCACCCTGTAGCAAGTCACTTAGCCTCTCTGAAACTCAGTGTTCTCATCTGCAAAATGGGGATGATTTTACCTTCTTCATAGATTCATTGTATGAGTACATTACTTCATTACTCATTCATGAGTAAAGGAAATAATGTGTATAAAACTGTGTAGCACAATATTCAATTAATGATATTTGCTATGAGAATTACTGTGTAAAAACCACTTTCAGATTACATTACCTTAATTTCTGAACTGCAAAATTACATAGAAAATTGTTCTTTCCCAAATGAATTCTAATACTCAATATAGTCTTACAAAGCAGTTGATTTATTATTTATTACTAATATTATTTATCTTTAATTCTCATATAACAGTTGCTTTCCAACAAGTAATATTTTTCCTCAGAGGAAACATAGAACAT